TTAGAAAGCTATTCCCACACAATCCATAATATATGTATATCTATGTGCGTACTTTACCAGTTTCCAGAAAGTCGATTCTTCCCGGAAGGATGGCTCGTATTTCAGTTTTCAACCGTCCCTGTTTTACTAAATGTCCTGCCTGAACTTCGGCTGTCAATAGAAAGCACATGGTGACTAATGCGGTCGTAAGCCCAGAATTTGTGGTTGTTTATTGATTTGGTTTACTTTTTGCTGTTATAAAGCTTTTCTGATCAGGGCAGTTCTTGGTGCTTTTCCGCTTTCCGTTTCCAAAGTTTCAGACATTTCCGCTCTCTGATCTGCAAGTTCGTCTGCTCTATTGTCTCGCTTTTTCAAGTTCCTCTGTGCATACTGTGTTTATTGTTGTTCTAAATTCGTTCCCCAATAATTTTCTGGCTCTGCCTTGTCCAAATTGACTAACCATCTTCATGAATGTCTCTGAAAAGACGAGGACGAGTTTTACTCCCGGACATCTAATGGTCTGAGGGACGCGACAAGGTCTAAACTTTGGCCGCATAAAGTTATGCCATTTTGTCAATCACCCCTACTTTATCTGAGGATTCAAAGAATCGAATTTTGAGGTTTTTTAAAAAGCGATTTCAAATTCGAGAATTTTCGAAAGGAGATGGCTTCAGTTTGGAAATGTTCTAGAGATGCCCTTCATATGTGGAATAGTACTTGAAGTTTAGAATGTTTGGTTAGAATCCCTCATTCACAGGCGCAAATCTCGTCCTCAAGCCTTTTTGAATGACCCATTCGAAAGCATTCGCCCATGCAATGCATAGTGATGAGCCGACAAGCTGCGTGACGAGCCTGACAACGAGAGCTGGCAGCCGTGTGTGGCGGCGCCCTATTGAAGGGTCCCATAACTGACAACGCGTTGATACTAGAACAACAAAACAGCATTAACATGAGCCTGACTGACCATCATTGCGTTTGACACCTCGAGGGGCAATCGATATCGCACCGACTAGTATATCCGATGTGGTGTGGAGAGAAGAGAGGGGGGTGCTGACTGGGGGCTGAGACTAGCCGTCCGTCCGTCTGGCCGACTGGCTGTGGCTGCTGAGAGGCGCAGCACCCCACGACGGGGCCCTCCCTCCTCCCTCCCCCTCCGGCTGCTGCAGCTCATGACCCCTTTCTCATTCACTCATTATTGCTGAGGCATCATCTCCGCCCTTTCCCATTCACACCAGCCATTCTCGTGTCTCATTGACATTTCTATGAATTTCTGCTTTACAATGAACTTGGTCACCGACAGCTTTGCTGCCATGCCCTTCATAATCAACCTTCGCCCAAATAGATTGCCACCTCCCTAATTATTGTTTTCGTGTTTTACTTAAGTAGCCAATGAAACGTCGCCAGAGGTGACCCATCACTCATCCTTAACAGAAAATATCCCGTTTCAGTTGTTGCGTTCAATATTCCGGGCCTGAGAATTGCACTTTTTCGGACGGCGGTCATTCTTGCGACAGCCGTCCACGCTCATGAACGTACTCCATTTGCACAGGAGGTACGGTAATATCAGTACTTGTTATACAGTCGTTCTAAAAAAATATTTTATTGATATTACTTAATTTCCAAGTACTTGTCGATTATGCGATTCAATCGTGTCGTTTTTATTTATTTACCTATTTACTTGCGCTCCTGGTGGGTGTTGGTCGTACTAGTACAGCGTTGGAATCGGAGGGATAGTAGTCAGAACATCATTACCAGTTCTAGTACATAGTAGCATTGTAAGGTGATCATGTGTCATGTACGAAATTCACAATGTTCCAAAGCAAATGTTCAGGAAACAAACAGGTAGACAAGTGCACACCTATCAATCAGTGTAAAATTCGATGAAAAAAATAAAACATTAGTACACCCGGAAGTGGCCGGTACTCCTGAAATTCAATTTTTCCCCGAAAGTTCAATTCGTTATTCAAAATTTCCCGAACTTATCGTGAAAATGAGTGAATAACTTTTCAAATTACCTGTTTTATCTGAATCACGACATTATGAGCCGTCGAATTCTTTTTCAATGATTACTGATTACTAGTTACGGCCTTTTGTCTACCTAACAGTTTATATAATGCTATTTCATCCTCGCTTTGGAAAAAAACTCGTACAAACTACTTCAATTCTGCTGCTTTTTGTTATTCTGCTTTTCGTAAGCAGTTTTGTTAGTTTTGTGTTTGTTTTGCCAAAACTTTCATGCCACTGAAACGGAAAACACGTGATGGCAAAGCAATTACTCTGAGTGATTTACTTCTAAGCTACTAGAAACTTTGAAAACAGATTTCGAAGTTTAAAGCAGATTTTATCCCTTGTACGATGTTAGTAAACTGTCCAAATATTCGGAATAACAGTTAACAAAGTAAAGAAGAAGTAATAATTAGTAAGAGCTAATAGTATAAATACTCCTCGCTACGACATATGAGCCCAGATAGAAATCCTGCCTTTATTTCAGTCTTTTGTTCCTTTTTTGTCTTTTTTCAGATGTTTTTCTATTGTTTATTATTTCTTTCATTATTATTAACTCATTATTAGTATTAGCATAATACTTACTTGTTAGTATTAGTCACTTCATAGTCGCCATTTCATTTCTTGACGACGTTTTTTTCTGTCTGAAAAGTTGATCCTGGCATAGACAGCTGTCGAATTCTTCAATTATCATTGTCAGTAGGAATACAAGTGATGAAGAGGCTCTTAGTATTGTTAGTAAGCCCGTAGAGGTTGTTGTTGTTTACATGTTACAACAATAAGCTGAGGGAGACTTGCCATGTTTTATAAAAACATTCTGAAGAGGATGAACGATGCATGTTAAAGCAGTGCGTCAAGCCAGAACGGGGCCGAAACTACGAGATTATCCCAAAACTCTGGGCCGAATTCATCATTCAGATTACCCTAGGGTAAAGCGCCCGGCGGGTCTTCAATTTGATGCTGCAGAATTGGATGGAATTGCAGACATTACCTGAACAAACCCCCTGATGAGTTCATTTGCCGAAAAGTCCGGCGATCAAGCAGGAAAGGGACAACAGAAAAAACCATTTGAAAGGTTCATTTACTGAGCTTTTGTTGAGGGTAATGAACTGGCTTCAAACTGCCTGAAGGCCTCGTTTAGCAATTGTCTGGACAGAAGAAAGCGTGGGTAGGGAATTCCGGTTTTTTCCCGGATCTCGGACCATGTACTCTGATAATTTGAATGTAAATTAGACAGTAGACAGACATTTTTCAGAGGAAATGCCTATGTTCACCACAGATATTTATGGCCCCTTTGGGATGGTTCACCGACCACCAGGCGTGAAGCCAGCGATGTGGAGCGAACGACTTCAGAGAGCAGCCACCCCACATCTGGCGTTAAGTACATATCGGAATTTGACGACCGTACAACTGAGCAACTGCCACTACGGCGGGGCTCTGGGACCATTTTATTTTGACCTTAGTAGTTTAGGCAGTAGTACAAAGTAAACCCGCAGTGTAACTTACATCTGCACGCTTTTCAGCGGTATGCGCCGCTTTT